GCAGTTTTCACTACGTCTCTGTTGTTTGGCTCCACTAGTGTGGATCCACACGCTGGACACTGCTCTTTCAGTTCTTTGATGAAACCAAGTTCAACGTATAACCCACAGAGAGGCGCAGAGGTCTTCAGCAGTGTGTGTGTCCACAAACCTGGGAGGCATTCAGAGGCAGCCCCGCCCTTACACACGCAGAGCCCCCATGACAGGCCTGGGCTTTCTGTCGGCATTGTGTCCCACTGCATCGGGGAGAGGTCCTGCCCCCAGGTCCCGGGAGAGCACGCAGCGCCTGGGCTCTTCTGTCCAGGCTGCTGTCACCAGGCGCTGGAGGAAAGCCAGCGCATGGCCGGTCCAGTACAGGAATAACAAGGGCTCCACTGAGCCGCTGGACAGATGGGCGGGCGGAAGGCCGCACGGCCCGCTGGGACTGGAGCTGGTGGTGGCTGGGGCTCCAGCCCCTGTGGTTTCTCAGGCAATTTGTTCTCCCCCAATGAGCCCCCAAACTCCTCCCAGCCTCCTGTCTGCCCCCCTCCCCCAGGGCATTCTGCCTTTCTGGAGGGACCCCCGCAGCGCTGGGCACCCCAACACCTGCGTATATTGGGAGAGAGGCAAATCCTGTTCCCCAGCTACCTTCTACTGTCGCCCTGCAGGGACCACCTCCTACAACTCTCACAGAACTCACTTCCTGCCCCGAAAGTTCTGCTGTGGATCTCAGGAAACCCTAAGTGGACCCAGCCTCGCTAGGCGGGACACATACGCAGTAAGCGGCCCCACAGCCTGCTCCGGCCTGCAGCAGCATGGACCTCTAGGGGGCCTCATGCTGCCCAGGCCTATGGTGCCCCTCACCCCCACAGCCAGGTATGGACAGGTGGTTCACCGCCACCAAGCCTCTGACCTCTGCCCTTGGAGGGCAGGAGCGGCCCATGCCTCTCTCAGGGGGTAAAAAGAGGACCGCACAAAGCTGTGAGCAGTCCTGTCCCTCCCCTCCTCCCTCCCTTACCCCCTTCTCCTCCCTCCACTTCCTCTTTCTCCCCCTCCCTTCTTCCCTCCTCTCCTCTTTCCCTGTCTCCCTCCCTCCCTTCCTTCCCACGCTTCAGGTACACATCCTCACCTGTGCCCCAGTGGCTTGGCACAGAATGCCTGCTCCAGTGGTGTCTGTGCTTGCTCAGAGCGCACCTAGCCCTGCCTGGACCCTGGAGAGCACTGGGGCCGGCGGCCTTGTCTGTGGCTACAGCCAGCCCTGGGACGCCACCACACCCCTCCCGGGATCCCTTTTCTCCATCTGTTCATTCTTGTCCTTTTTTACCTCGCAGAGATCTCCCTTGAAGTCAGCTTCTGGTGGATTCCATTTACACACAGGTGTTACCTTTGCACAAAAGCCATTAAGTTCCCGCCTCTGCTGCCGAGATGACCGGTCCGACCTCGGCCCCTTGTCCCCTCCAGGGAGTCCACGGGGCTGTGGCTTCTGAAAGGCACTGACTCCGGGCCTTTCTGTGCATGGCTGCTCTTACTAGCACTTAAATCCTCATCCACTCAGAGTTTGGAAATGCCCGGATTTCATTCCGCCTTCACCATGAAATGTTATTTACTTGAGTTTGTGTTTCATCTTCATGTGTAATAATGTCCTAAGTTCACAGAAAACAGGAATCCCGTGGGGAGTCAAGCCCCTGGCGGGGTTTCTTGTGTCTGCAGGAGGCTCAGGAGCGGGGAGCCTCCTTTCCACCCCAGAGGGACGCTAGAGCCAGCAAAGGCCGTGAGGGGTGAGCGGGGGCAGGCAGAGCTGCAAAGGCTGGCTGGGGTCACTGAGCACCATGTCTGAGAATCGGCCTTCTCCTTACCATCCACCTGCAGACGGAGGCCTCCCAGGGCTCGGATATCAGCCTCGCCGGCCAGCACCGCAGAACACACAGTAAAGCGAAGCCCCAAGCGCAGGTAGAGCATCCAGCTGCCCGTCGTCCGGGCACACTGGTTCCAACTGGGGGATAGAGGGGGTCACAAGGCCCAGGAGGACCGTTCTGCCGGGCGCCTGGGACAGATGTGCATGGAGTGGTGAACCCCAGAAGCGGCACCCAGGAGGGTGTGTGCTGTAAGGATCCACCCCCACTCATCCAGAGTAGCTGGGACACCGGACAGGAAGATGGAGGTGGTTGTCCTCCTGTGGCTGGGGAGGCTGTGTGGACAGGAGCGCAGAGAGGGGGATCGCAGACAGGCCCTGGTCTGACCCAGATGCTGCTCCCAGAGGTTTCACATGGCGTTTCCAGGCCTCAGCAGCCTGCTGGGGCCAAGGGGAGCCCCATGAGTTGTACTGAAAAAGGAGTGAGCCGGGTGCTGGTAGCTCATGCCTGTAATTGTTGCTACTCAGCAGGCTGAGACCTGAGGATAACGGTTCAAAGCTAGCCTGGGCAGACAACTTCACGAGACCCATGTCTTCAATTAAGTAGCAAACCTCTGGACGTGGAGGTGTGGGTCAAATGGTAGAGTACCAGCTTTGAGCAAAAATAGCCAAAGCTAGATTGTGAGGCCCTGAGTTCAAGCCCCAGTACTGGTGCACGCACGCGCGCGTGCGCGCACACACACACAGCATTAAATAGAATAAAAAGATGGATTTCTAGTCAAATGCCTGGATGAGTGAATTCCGAGGGGAGTAAAAATAAAGTCTGCTTTGCTAGGAATAAAGTATTTTGATCGGCTCACATCTGGAGATGACACGATTTGTGAACCGCATGCTCGGCATTTGGCAGGCATACAGCGAACGTGGTTCAGATACAAATCCTTGAGAATCGGCGTGGGTTTAGTTCCTATTCCAAGTAGATTTCTTTGTAGATTTGTGTCTGCTCACCCGGTAGCTCGTGCACTTCCACTGGGAATGGGCCGGCGATGGAGGGGGGGTGGGGGTGGGGTTTCCTCAGGGAATTTGTGTCTGGGCCTGGGCATGTGAATGGGAGAGGGAAGACTCCGGATGGTGGGACAGGTTTTGGAGTCTGCAAAGCATCCCTCCCTCTGCTGGACACATGGAGGAAGTGCAGCTCTGTGTGAGTCTTGCCAGCCTGGGTGTTGAGTAGAAGGAAATAATCTTGTCTTTCTCAAGGGTGTAGGCTCTTCTGTCATCTCTGAGCATCTGGAGAGGAGGGTGATCGAATTAATGCGTGAGGTGAGGGGAAATGTTGCAACCTGGACTTCTGATCTCCGGAGTTGTCTTAAGCCAGTTCATCCTCCCCACCCAACCTCTCTGTAATTAACTCTAGTATGTGAAAGTATCATGGCAGCATAAACAAAAGGGAATTTTATGTTTAAAGAAAGGCAACATGTGAAGGATGCACACCGCTTTCCCGGAGACCCAGGTCACACTTCCCAGAGGTTCAGACTTGTATCTCCTGCAGTCCTGGGTGAAACACAGCTCCTGCGGCCTGGGTCTAGACCAGCCCCTCACCCTCCTGGGCCTCTGGGAAGCCCCAGTAAAGGGCCTGGTACACTGTGGGTGCTCATGCGGGATACAAGAGCTATTTGTGAATATACAACTCACTAGCATATTATGGAATGTACAGCTAGGCAGACGTGTATCGATCATAGTCGAGATTCACGCACTGTGCTGTTTGTATGTTGTACATGAGCAAAAAGATGTAACCGTAGAGGAGTTTGAAATTCACAGATTATAAAAATCAAACAGAATTTTCAAAAATAAAGTAAAAATAATTCTAGCTAGGCACCCGTGGCTCATGCTGCAATCCTAGCTGCTCGGGAGACTGAGATCTGAGACTCCCAGTGTGAAGCCAGCCCAGGCAGACCAATCCTTCAGACTCTTGTCTCCCAACTATCAAAAGCCAGAAGTAGAGGCGCGACTCACATGGTAGAGCGCCAGCCTCGAGCGAAAAAAGCTAAGTGAGGGAACCCAAGCCCTGAGTTCAAGCTCCCATCCCCACACTAAAATAAACAAACAAATAAATAGTATGTAGCTTGGAAATAAAACAAGGAGAGATGTGACGGAGCTCATCGGCAGTGCTGGGCTGCTCTGGCTGATAGTTTTTGTTTTGTTGTTGTTGTTTTGTGGGTCCTGCGGCTGGGGCGCTGTCCCTCAGCTCTTTGGCTCAAGGCGAGCGCTCTACCACTTGAGTCACAGCACCATTTCTGGTTTTCTGGTGGTTCCTTGGAGATAATAGTTTCACGGACTTTTGTGCCCTGGCTGGCTTTGGACTGTGATCCTCAGATCTCAGCCTCCTGAGTAGCCAGGATGATAGGCATGAGCCACCGGTGCCCAACGTGGCTGATAGTTTTACTTTGTGCCCATAATAGTTCTGCCTGGTGGCGATGCTCACTTAGAGATGCCGAGATTTTCACGCTCGTCCCAATGCCCTCCTTTGTACTGGCGCTGGCGTCAGCCTGAGGAGTGAGTGTTTGAGGCCCTGGCCCATTTGTCCCTTCCTGCCTGGCCCCTGCAGGAAAGCGCTGCCCGTGGCTGGGCACAGAGCCCTGGGCTGCGGTGCCCTGTGCCCCGGCTCCCGCCACAGCCAAGCTAGTCAGCACCAGGCCTGAGCAGGTGCCACTGAGGTTTGGGGGACCTGATCCATCCCGGGGCTAGAACGTTCTCGGTCTCATCAGAGAAGGCACGGGAGTCTGAAGCAGGAGCAGGTTCACGCGCACAGAGCAGAGCAGAGGAAGGCGGACATGTGCTTTCTAGGTGGGCAGACCACAGAGGACGGGCTGCGTGGGGGTCACGCCTCCTCACGCTGTATTGGGGTCTGGAAAGAGGACTGTGTGTCCCCCACCATCCGCCATGTCAGCGGGGCGAGTGCACGTGGGCACTGAGCCGGGCTGTCGCTGTCTGTGGCCGCCGAGGGGCTGCGGGTCCGCCGGGCCCTGCCGCGGGTCACTCCTGGTGTTAGCACCACGGGCCAGGAGAGCATCAGGTTTCCTGGCTTGCTGCCTGCGCCCTGTGTCAGTGGCGGTGCACCTCCACCTCCCACGTACACACCCGCCCGGGACTGCGGGGGGCAAGGTCTCTGAGCCATCCTGTCTCTTCCAGGTCCATCATGGAGCCCTTCTGTCCGCTCCTGCTGGCGAGTGTTAGCTTGCCCCTCGCCAGGGCTGGCAAGAGCAACGAGACCACCCCAGCGGAGAGCAACTGGACCAGCACGACGACGGCAGGTAAGGTCCGCCACGCTCACCTGAGCTCACCCATCCGCTCCTCCCCTCCCCAGCAACGGGGGCCTCACACGGTGAAGTAGAAAAGAGAAGGTAGGTGAGGCTGACTCTCACTGTGCTACCAGGTGCTGGTTCAGTGTCTCAACGAGGCTGGTTCACACGGCAGTCTTTGTGAGTGGCCTGAGAATAAAAGGGGTAAATATCTCCAAAAATTGCTAGGCTTGGTGGCTCATGCCTGTAATCTCTGCATTTGGAAAGCGGAGGCAGGAGAATTTCAAGTTCCTGACCAGGCTGGCTACAAAGTGAGACCCTGTGTGCTAAACAAATTAACCCCCCCCCACACACACACCAAAAAAATGACAGTGTGGAACCTCCTTCCAGCCAAGGCCAGACACTGAGCAGCAGGTGTGAATGTGAACACTCACAGGATAATTCCGCGTGGAAATGAAGGAAATGATTGTTGCTGGGTGCTGGTGGCTCACACCTGTGATTCTAGATCCTTATGAGGCTGAGAACAAGAAGATCATGGTTCGAAGTAGCTGAGGCAGAAAAGCCCATGACAGGCCATCTCAACAGAAAAGGCTGGGCGTGATGACACGGTCAGCCACCCACTACCGCGGCAGCCTCCAGTGGGTGGACTCTAGTCTAGAGACGCCATCTTGAAAGCAACCCGTGGAGAAAGAGTTGAAGGCATGACGCGGTGGTAGAGTGCTTCTCCGGAGCTCACACCCCAGTGTGTGTGTGTGTGTGTGTGTGTGTGTGAGTGTGAGTGCGCGTGCACGCGCATGTGTGGGGGGGGCGGAGGCAGAGACAGAGACACAGAGAGAATGAGAGGTTGTTACTATTCGAACTAAGACATTGGCAATGGTAAGCTTTATCTTTTCGAGGTGTTGGCAGTCATCTCCAGAGTGCTGGGGTGTGAGCTGGGAGGGCCAGGAAGTGGGGAGGCCCACAGGCCGCAGTGAGCATCTTCACAAAAAAGTTAGGGTAGAAACATGCGTGGGGTGTTTTCCTTCACCTTTTTATAGCGTAAAAGTAAAAGGGGAGGAAGGGCAGAGCGCACTGGCTCTCGGGGGGCAATCTGTGGGACCATGGGGACAGGGTTGCACTGATAGGAGGTGTTCGGTGGCCAGGTGGCCTGGGGGACGAGGATGGGGACAGGAGCAATAGCAGGAGTGTGTTTAGGGTGCGAGGAAATGGTCTACAACTAGATTTTGGTGAGAGTTGCACAATGCTTGAATTTACTTAACATCATTAGCTTAAAAGGGATGCATGTTCTGATATGGAAACTTACTCCAATCAAGTGAATCAGTGCTACTTGAAGTTGAAAGGAGGAGGAGGAGGAGGAGGAGGAGGAGGAGGAGGGTGAAGAGCACGGTACTGCCCTCGTTCAGATTCCATCTGCACCCCTTGTGGGCTGAGCTGCCTTGGGGAATGGCCTAACTGCACCCCCGGGTGCTGTGTGGGGTGCTCTACCGGTACCCATGCTGCACAGTGCCGTGAGTGTTACATACGCAGCTTTGTAGCAGGGCTGGCCTGCCCCCTCTTTACCCCAGGGCTGTCATCCGTCAGTCACTGGCAGCCAGGAGCACTGACTCCCCAGACTCCTCATGAACCTTACCGTGGACCATGCATCTGTGTGGAGGGCGCAGACGGGCCAGCTCAGGGTCCCCATGGAGTGCCTTTGGGTTCCCTGGGCAGCACCTACATGTAGCTCCACTCCACCCCCACTCCCCTGTGGCTGCAGCGCCTCCTGGTGGACTCATCAGGAAGAGCCGGCCAGCACCAAGGTTGATCCCTTCCCCTCCTGCCTCTCCCCACATACTGCTCCACCCCACAACTAGAAGGGTGACAAGTCATGGGACTTCCGGGCAGGGCACCTAGAAGACACAAATAGAAATACATAAGAATATGTTTATTTCAAGGAATTGAAATTTTATGAATATTATTATGAGATACATACATATATATATCTTTATTGGAAAGTAGCTTGTGCAGTAATGGAGTCTGGCAAGTCCAAAATCATTGCACAGTGACACACCACAGTTTGATCCCCAAGCTGGCAGATGGCAGTGGAACCAGGAAAACCCAAACATCAGAGTGAACAGGGTGTCCATCTGGAGGGCCCCCTCCTACCAGGAAGGTCAGCTTTTTGTTCTGCTCAGACCTTTGCCTGATTGGGCAGGGCCCACCCAATCAGGAGACAGACCATCTGTTTGATTCAGTTCATGAATTCAAATTTAATTTCATACAAAAGTAAAAAACAAAACAAAACCTCCCAGCCACAGTCAGAATGTTAGACAAAATACTTGGGCAGCCATAGTCCAGGCAAGTTGACCCATAAAATTAATCATCATGCTTGGTCCTTGTAAAACTTAGAGAAGACAAAAACCAATTATCTTTCAACAACAACAACAACAAAAAACTTGCTAGAGAAAAAACAAAAACGAAGTTGGTGTTGTCCAAGCCGAGTCAGGAGTTTAAAAGCTCCAGCCCAAGGGCTTCACCTGAGTTCCAGGGTGAAAGTCCTGAACACAACAGTGATTCTAAGAGGTTTGCCCTGCTGGGAGAACAGCTCCAGGCCCTGCGTCCGCCTCACACCACTGACACCCAAAGCAAGCCCACAAGAAAGAAAGGCCATGGCTGCGGCCCACAAGCTGTGTTCTGCACGTGAGCCTCTGCCGGCAGCTGTGGTGTCCTGTGTCCTGGACACCCTCAGCCCTGAGGACAAGGAGTAGCTGGGCCGGGCAAGCGAGCTGGCTGCCCTGCGCCCAGGCCGGAGGGCCCCGCAGCGGAGAGCTTCCACCTGCAGGCCTGACTTTCCTCACCGGCATGAGTCACCTGGCCATTGGGGAACCTAGAAGCTTGTGAGGATGCGCAGGCCACCAAGCAGGTCAGGCCGGGTCTGGAAGCGGCACTGGGGTCGCCAGCAACATGACACACCTCCACTTTCTACTTCACCTGAAAAGAAAACGATCCTTTCGCAACACTGCCGTGGATGTGGCTGTGACCTTTAGGCTCGGATGTGTGACCTTGGCACCCAGAACAGAACGGAATGTGACACGACCCTGCATCTTCCGGGGCCTCCCTAGGCTGGGCAGCAGCCACCATCGCACAAGCAAGAGTGGCCGGTGGGGCCTGGGGGAGAGGTGCGGACAGCGCCTAAGGCTGATGGCGCCCAAGGGACCTCTGCGGTGTCCCGTGTTCTTGGCGTGTTGGCAGCGAGTCACTCCAGGGTGCCAGAGCTACAGGAGACCATTTCCCTGGCTCAGGAAACAAAATGAGCCAGTAGTCATCCTGCCATGTGTCTTCTGACCTCCGCCACAGGTGGCTGCAGGCCAGGGGCAGCAGGCGGGGCGTGGAACAGTGGAACCTGGGACCCGTCACTTCCGCCCCCACGCTTGGCCCTCCAGGGATCGGGTTGGGTGGCAGACAGGGACCAGAGTATGGCTGGGGATCGCGGCCTTTCGAACACACATGACTGGGGGAGGCTGGGGTGCGAGTGGGGAATCACAGGGCGTTGGAGTCCTTGGGGGCTCGAGCATCCTCGGGGGGTATTGGAGGAGCTGTGTGATGCCCCAGGGGCTCAGGGGCTGGGTGTCTGCGGGGGCAGAGGAAGGGCAGGCTGGCACGGGCAGAAGACACACGGTGAGCAGGGGTCTCCTGAGGCCAGGCCAGCTTTCTACTGCTCTTGCCACTTGGAGGAATCAGAGTTGCAGGTCCTAGGAAGTTAGCTGATGCCGTGCAAGGCCTGTGCCCAGCCCCGGGGCAGACGGCTCCCTGTGTGTGGAGCTCCTGCCCAGCCGACAGGACCGTCCGGGAGGAGCTGCAGAGCAGGCTCAAGGCTGTGCCCGCACCCTGTCCCCTTCTACCTCCTCTTTGTAGAAGATGCAGGGCTGTCAGAGAACAGGCAGCCAGCCAGGGCTCACACTTGTGGTCTGGGGAACTCACCTGTGTGTGTATTCCCCACAGATGTGTGTGTGTGTGTGTGTGTGTGTGTGTGTGTGTGTGTGTGTGTACATACCTGGGCATTGTCCCTTAGCTTTTCTGTTCGAGGCTGTTGCTCTACCACTTGATCCACGACTCTACTTCTGGCTTTTCGTGGTTAATTAGAGATAACAGCCTCATGGACTTTCCTATCCAGTCTGGCTTCAAACTAAGCTCCTCAGCCTCCAGCGAAGCTGGGATCACAGGCATGAGCCGCTGGTGCCCGGCTCCCCCAGTATCTTGGGCATGCCCCAAACTGCTCCTCAGCACCAGTTTTCCCAAAATCCACAGCCACAGCAAACAGCATTTGTTCCTCACCACACCACAGTGTACCCCGTGGGCCAGAAGGAAGGGCTGCTGTGCACGCTCAACAGGGCGCCTGCCCCGGACAAGGGACCGATGGCGGGCCGACACCGCAGGCCGGGCTGTGTGTCCTCCCTCCTCCTCCTGCCCAGGGTGCTGATGAGACTCCCCTTCCCGCCTGCAGGACCCCCGGACCCCGGCACCTCCCAGCCCCTGCTCACCTGGCTGCTGCTGCCGCTCCTGCTCTTCCTCCTCTTGCTCCTCCTCGCCGCCTACTTCTTCAGGTAGGAGTGTCCCCTGGGCGCTGACTTGCCTGGACCAGCTCAGATGAGGAAATGAGCCTTGAGGCTGGGACACCGCCCAGACACCACTGGGTCCGCCAGGTCCTAGCACTGCTCAGCCATGAGCAGCAGAAAGAGCTTTTCCCGGCTCACCTGGTGGGTACCCCCACACCCGGGGCTGGGGGCTCCCCAGAAGCCTGCGTGTGCTGCCCTCTAACGCGTCTGTGCCTCTCAGGTTCCGGAAGCAGAGGAAAGCGGCGGTGAACAGCAACGACAAGAAAATGCCTAACGGGATCCTGGAAGAGCAAGGTACGGTGCGCACCCCTTCGGCCGGGGCGCCTCTGCCCTGAACACTTCCATATCCAACTCTTCCTGCTCGCAGCTGTCTAGCTGACAGTAACCGCTGCTGTGGACCACAGCGTGTCTGTATTTCAAAGCCATTTTTTCCCCCTCCATTGTGAAACGGATGTCTGACACACTCCAGTTTGTGGCTTCAGGGCTGTCCGTATCCTGTGTTTTCTCATGGGCTTTGAAATCATTTTATCCTAAGACTCCCTGGTTATCCTCAGCCAATGTGCTCAAACTTCAGATTGTTTTAAGACTGAGCTGAAAGGAAGGAAATTGCTCAAGTGCTTTCCCGTCTGGGTGGATCAGAAGTGGCTGCGGGCGTTTGCGAGGGTTAGGTTGGAGTTCAGGCCCTCATGCTTCTTAGAGAGGCAAATTCTATTTCCCCGCTGTGAGAGGACCGAGCCGGGGAGGCCGGGAAGGCAGAGGCTCTGAAAAGAACCGGCTGGTTCACACCAGTGACTACAATTTCCTGTCGTCAGCTTCCTTCCTGTGTAGCCAGACCTCAGCTGAATCATATGTGAGTGTGTGTGTGTGTGTTTCTAAGGCAAAGTTTAAAACTAATCCAAGACAATAAAAGAATATCCCAGCAACGCACGTGTGCACATGTGCGCGCGCACACGCACACACACATGCACACACACATGTGCGCACGCACACACACATGCACACACACACACATGCTCACACAGAGGACTTAGCTATGACATGTTTTTGCAGGGCCGGGGGGTCTCATGTCCCTTGTTAGATAGTAATGTGGGCCCAGTGCCTGCTCTGCGCCCTGCTCCATTCCCTGCTCTGTGCCCTGCTCCGTGCCCTGCTCTGTGCCCTGCTCTGTGCCCTGCTCTGTGCCCTGCTCTGTGTCCTGCTCTGTGCCCTGCTCTGTGCCCTGCTCCATTCCCTGCTCCGTGCCCTGCTCCGTGCCCTGCTCTGTGTCCTGCTCCATTCCCTGCTCCGTGCCCTGCTCCGTGCCCTGCTCTGTGCCCTGCTCTGTGCCCTGCTCCGTGCCCTGCTCCATTCCCTGCTCTGTGCCCTGCTCCATGCCCTGCTCCATGCCCTGCTCCGTGCCCTGCTCTGTGCCCTGCTCTGTGCCCTGCTCCGTGCCCTGCTCCATTCCCTGCTCCGTGCCCTGCTTTGTGCCCTGCTCTGTGCCCTGCTCCGTGCCCTGCTCC